TTCTCTGTTGTTGGTGGGAGTGCAAACTGGTGCAACCCCTCTGGAAATCAGTGTGGAGATTCCTCAAAAAAGTAAAACTAGCCAGGCATGATGGTGCATGCCTGTAATCCCAGCCCCTGGGAGGCTGAGACAGGAGGATTGCCATGAGTTAAAGACCAGCAAGACCTTGTCTCAAAAAAAAAAAAAACAAAAGACCCCTAAAACTAGAAGTTCCACCTGACCCAGCTATTCCCTTTCTTGTTATCTTCCTGAAAGAATTAAAAGCATCATGCCACAGCAATATATGCACACCGATGTTTATAGCAGCACAGTTTGTAATAGCTAAATCTTGGAAACAACCCTAATGCCCATCATCCAATGAATGGAAAAGATTTTTTTTATACAATAGAGTACTACTCAGCCTTCAAAAGGATAAGCTTGAGACATTTCTAGCTAAATGGATGCACCTTAAGGCCATTCTCTTAAATGATGTAAATCGGACACACATGTTAAAATACCACGTTGTTTATCTGGGATGAGAAACCAAAAGCGTAAATAAGGACCAAAATGTAGAATAGATATTAGGAAATGAGAGGAAAATGTTCAAATGAGAAGAGGAACAAGGGTGGGGAGAAAGGGAGGGAAAGAAAGGACATTAAAAAACAGAACAGAAGGAAAAATGGAAACCAAGTTTTGTAAGTAAGGAGGGGAAGAGGGGTTGAAGGGAGGGGAGGGGGATGGGGAATACGGAAGCAGCAGGAGCTATCATGTAGAGGCACAAACTCCCTATGATGAGTGTGATCAGTATGTATATCTAAAATGTAGCAATAAAATCTGATGGGAGAAAATATATAAATAAACTGTACCAATAAATTTAAAAAATGCAACATTTAAAAAAAATTTTTGACACAGGGTCTAGTTAAGTCATTAAATTTCCTAAGCTGGGCTCAAACTTGTGATCCCCCTGCCTCCGCCTCTCCAGAGTGCTAGGATTGCAGGCGTGTGCCAGCAGGCTCAGCTTTTCTCTTCTGTTCTAGGGACACAGAAGCAACTCCTTGCCATTCTCTGACTGATCAGAGTGAATGTCAAATAAGCCAACACCTGGAATTTGAAATTTTGAATGAAAGAAAAGCAAGATTTACAAAAAAGCCCATGAGAAAGCTGGAGCCAAGATGGGCTGGTGGAGCCGACAGCGGCCGGTCCTCAGCCCCGTGTGCTCTCAGCGTGCACAGGGGAGCGGCTGGAGGCCCCGCCCAGGACAGGTTCCTGCGGTTTCCACCAGGCTTGAACTCTAAAGCAGGTGCCTCGGTCTGTCCGCTGGAGCTGCTGGCGGCCCAGGGTTGGCAGGAAGAGCTGGGGACAACACTGCCCGGCGTCCTCCCAAGCGCTTTGGGGACAAACCCGCCCTCCGCACACTGTCCAGGGCGCGGCCCACCGGCCAGCTGTCCCCTGTGACTGCAGCCCCCGAGGGGCCAAGGGGCCATCATGCCAGGCCACAGTGAGCCCAGGACGTCCCCGGGGGCTGGCTTTTCCAGGAGCGGTGCTAAGAGCTCGGGGGACCAGAAGGCACGCAGCCCCTCTTGGGGCAGAGTCAGGATTTTGGGACAGAGTCAGGGTTTGCTAAATTAGCACCGGAGGCCACGCTGGGGTCAGGCTGCGCGGCTCAGGCCCTTTCCGCAGGGAGCAGCGAGTGGAAGCTTCATTCCGGGTGGGCACCGAGCGTCCATGACCTGCAAACGCCTCTAAACTGGCTCCCTTTGGCCCCCTTTTTTTTGTCCACAGAAAGTGGGATATTTCTTTTGGAAGAAATAGCTCTGCACATGTGCATCGTAGTGTAGTGCAGCCTGCCGCCCGGAGCTCACCGTTCCTGGTTCCCGGAGATGCCCCTGGCCTGCGCCGCAGCCCGCGGGTCCCGGACACAGCAGTCAGCCCAGCCGCTTCCTGCAAGACAGCGAGATGGAGCGAAGCGCCAGTGCTTCTGATTTCTGCACAGGGCCCTCATGAGGGGACATCCTCACACAGAGGTGACCAACACACACACACACGGTGAGCGTTACGCGTGGCTATTAATCCCGCTCAGATTATTCTCCCTTGCTTTCCACATACTCATCCCTTCGTTCCTGCCACTTCTGTTTGGTTTTTTTTTGGTTTTTCTCCGGTACCGGGAACCGAACTCACGACCTTGCGCTTGCCAGGCAGGCGCTTCTGCCGCTGAGCTAAATCCCCAGCCCCTCCTGCCACTTCTGAAGCAGCTCTGGAGTCCTCTTTCCTGAGGGTCTTTACGAGGTGTGATAAAAAGTACAGTGGAGCTGCTGCTGAGCACCATCCAACAGAAAGGCAGGGTCCTGAAAACATGGTGCCGTGTCCTCGTCCACCTTGTTCACTGCAGCCGGTGTGGTGTGACTTCTGGCTCCTCCCCAAAGTAAAAATGACCATAAAGGGTAAGTAAGCGCTTTGGATCTCTGCAGGACATCAAGGCAGCCAGGACAGCGCAACTAAAAACAGTCGGGAAAGAGGACTCTGGAGCTGCTGCAGAAAGTGACGAGAGCCGGGCGTGGTGGTGCACCCTGTAATCCCAGCACTCGGGAGGCTGAGGCAGGAGGATCACCATGAGTTTGAGGCCAGCCCGGGCTACACAGTAAATATGAGGCCAGCCTGAACTACATAGCGAGCCTCTGTCCCAAAAATAAAAAAGAAAAGGAAGTGACAGGGCAGTGGGTAAGTACACTCCACGTGAAAGGGAAGATTTCGAGGGATTCACGGCAATGTGGCATTTGCTGTAACACATTCTTTACTGAATCATACATGTATTTTTTGATCACTCCTCATACACTGAGAAAAAAACACGCTCCACTCAGTGGCGTTTTCCCAGCCAGGGACAGTTCTGCCCTACACCGGGCGGCAGCTCTGTGTCCGAGGCGTGCTTTCGGAGGGGTCTGCGTGCGGCTGCCGGCACAGAGCACTTCTCGAGGCTGCAGTGGGAACACAGGCCCAGACTCGCGATCATAAAAGGCCACAGCTGGTCCTCAGAAGCCCAGGGGTTCACAGGGCGCCCACAGGGGCCCCCACAGGGACGCCCAGGCCCACACCCCGCCCCCCAGCGCTGGCCAAGAGCTGTCTCGCACCTCTCCCCCAGCTTCCCCCTTTGTAATTTAGAGGCTGGGACCCAGTCCTCACCACCATAAGACACCTCTGCCCAGCAGTCCTGGGGATCAGACCTAGGGCTTCTGCACTAAACTACATCCTCAGTCCTTTTTGCCTTTTATTTTGAGACAGGTCTTTTTTTTTTTTTGGACAGGGTCTTGTCATATAGTTTAGGTAGGCCTTGAACTTACTATGTAGCCCAGGCTAGCCTCGAACGTGTGGCAATCCTCCTGCCTCAGCCTCCCCAGTGCTGGGATTAAAAATGTGTGCCACCGCACTCAGCTGCAACTGTCTTACTAAATTACTAAATTGCCCAGAGTGGGTTCAAACTTGGGACTCTCCTGCCTCAGCCTCCCAGAGTGCTTGGATTACAGGTGTGTGCCACCGTGGCCAGTCCACTTATTAGTTCCCTTAAATCCTTGCACCAATATTCTAACGTTCGTAAGAGAAGTATCTCGAAACTTGGTTTGATTTAGTGTTCTGCCTCGAAGATGAATCTCTCTATTCCAGAACTGTTTATGAACTCACATTCATCTGGAGGCCAGCAGGACGCCAGCGGTGGGAAAGTCTCGGGGTGCAGCCCCTTCTCGGGCAGGGGGCGCCCCCGTGCGGCGTCTGCTGGCTGGGCCATAGCTCCGGTGAGATCCGGGGCCGAGGCGCCTAGCTGCGCTCTGCCCCCATCCACCCACCCCCTGCCGCGCCAGCTTCCGTTTCCTCCGCAGTGTTTGGTCCAAATCTGAGAGATTTGAGGCCATGTGTGCTCGCCAGGGTTACTGGGCGGGGCGGGGGGTTCTTCTCAGTGCTCTGGGCCACCTGGGAGCACAGAGGGGGTCGGGCGCAGCGAGTTCGACATCTCTGTAAGCAAACCGCCTCCTCCCCTCTCTGAAGCCCAGGGTGCTGACACCTTCCTGTTACATCTGACGCCGGCACACGGGGCTGTGAGTAAAGACACCTGCGCCCCCTCTGAGGCACCCTCCCGCCTGGCTCTGCGCCCCTTCCCCCTCCCTGCGGGGCTTCCGAAAGCCGCCTCCATTCTCAGCTTGGATGTGGCAGAGGCCGCCAGCGACTGCAGGACAAAAGAGCGGCGAAGCGAGTGAGACAGGCTCGCGGGCCCCTGGAGGCAGAAGCGGTAAAAGGCTCTCCTCCCCGGGCCTTAGCCCGCAGCCAGGGAGCTGCTGGGGCACAGTCAGGACACAGAACGTTTCCCGGGGGCCTCGCTGGGCCGGGCAGCCCTGGCTCGCGCTCCGGGCAGCGCTGTGGGCATCGTGCACCCCGCCGAGGGATGGAGTTGCCGGGTCCCCCACATCCTCAGCCTGTGTCCTCCGGGCCTGCGGTCCGCCCTACCCTTGGCCCAAAGCAGATCCCAAATCATGCTGCATCCCCCTGGGGACAAGGATGTGCCACTTGAGGTAGGACCTGGATGTGATCCAGCAAGCTGTGAAATATGCTGAGTTCTAAAAACTCTACCTACAGCGGGCCTGATAGCGCACATCTATAACCCCAGCACTCTGGGAAGCCGAGGCAGGAAGATTGCGGGTTCAAACCCAGCCCGGCATTTAGAAACTAAGTGAGACCCCGTCTCAAGATAATAGCAAGTGTTGGGGCTGTAGCTCAGTGCAAAGGCCCTGGGTTCAGTCCACATACTGCCAAAAAAAGCAAATAAAACCAAACCTTTAAGCATGAATGTTCTGCTTGAAATTAGCAAAGTGGCCCCTAACAATGATCCCTTTTAAGAATCCACGATCTAAAAAAAAAAGATCCTACTATCCAGCTCCCCACTTAGGAGACATCAAAGACTCCCCAGGACCCTATCTGTCCCTCTGACCTTCATAACAACAGCAAAGAGGGACAAGAAAAGAAATCATTTCATTTCTGTGTCCGAAATCAGGAAGGTAAGGCAGAATCCCAGCGGGAAGTGGCCCTGGGAGCCCCTCAAGTAAGGCAGAGAAGGGCGAAGGGCTGCTGCATCTCCCTGAGGTCTTTGCCGTACTTTACATGAAAGCCCTCTCCGTAGAACTTTCTAAAATCACTAATTGAGCGTTTCAGATTTCAGGCTCAATTATTTGATGCTGCTCTGTAGGTAACAGTTTATCCCCCTGAGTCCCGCCCTACTGGGGAGACTGGGCATTAGACACACAGGAGATAAAGATGAATGGACACTGGGGGTCCCCGGGGGGGGGGTACAATCGCCTGGGGAGTTCTGGCAGGCTCAGCAGGACCCAGCATGACTCAGTGTCAAAGACAGGAAAGCAAAAAGCTGTGGCCCGATGCCCAGCAGGGAGTCCTCCCCGAGAGGAGAATCTGGGGTGCTCTCCCGAGAGCTGCTCTCCTGAGAGAGAAGCTGGGGGTGCTCTCCTGTTAGCTCTCCTGAGAGAGAAGCTGGGGGTGCTCTCCTGTTAGCTCTCCTGAGAGAGAAGCTGGGGGTGCTCTCCTGTTAGCTCTTCTGAGAGAGAAGCTGGGGGTGCTCTCCTGTTAGCTCCCTGAGAGAAGCTGGGGGTGCTCTCCTGGGTCCTGTGCCTCACGATGTGAGAGTGGATTCAACGACCCCAGGCTCGGGTTGCAGCTCAGACCGGAGCACACACAAAACACACAGGGAAACGGGTCCAGAGTGATGTTTATCCTGAGGAAATGTGGTGCCCCTCATGGCTCAAGCCCGATTCTGTTCGTTATTACTCAGAATGTGCATGCCTCAGTTTCCCCCCTTCTAATGGAGCGTGCTGCAGATGAGCCCTGGCCCCGCCTCACGTGACCTCACTGCCTGCGGCACCACACAAGCCAACTCATTTCCCCCCTGTCCCCACGGAGCCTCGTCTGCCCACCCCAAAGACACCCTCGGGGCCACCGAGCACACAGCACCAACGGGCACACTGTGGTGATAAAATCGGGAACGCAGGGAGGTTTCTGCGCCTGGTGGGATGCGGAACTCACCTGCCTTAGAGCTGATCCCCGGCGTGGACCCCACCAAGGGGAGCAGGGCCGCAGCTCCCATCAGCACCCTCCAGGCCCGGCTCAGGCCACACGCGACCATGGGACCCCCTGCACGGTACCCAACTCACAGCTGGCTTCGGGCAAACAGGAGCAGGCAGAGATGTGCTCGAGGCCTCCGGATCCCGCAGGACCTGGGCTCCCAGACCCCTGGGCCAAGCTGGGAGCTCCCCTGCCCGCCTATCTTGGGACAATCAGCCAATCACAACCCCCCAACCAGCACCCTCCCAGAGGAGCTCTGGGGTCCCCTCCCACCACGCTGTAGGGCTGTTTCCTGACAAACCTGTCCTAAAGGGTGTGGGTTTGCAAGCAAGATGTGTGAGCCCTGGTGCGGCTTAGAAGTAGCTCCAGTGAGTAAACAGGGTCGCCGTGGCTGTGAGTAACAGCCGGGTGCCCTGCAGTTCGTGGTGGAGGACACTGGGACACTTCTAAGGCCGTTTTCAAGTAAGACAAAAGCCCAGCTTTGCTACATCCAGCGCTAACACCGGGAACCTGGAGTGAGAGTCCTGGCGGCGAGGTCTTTCACCCAAAGAAAGGGGGTCACTTTGTCTTAGTAAAGGGATGGACGGGACACCTTCCTGTTTACGCTGTCACAGTGCAGTGGCTAAGAGAATCACCACACACGTTCCCCGGGGATGTTTAACTGGACCACTGCGCAGTTATCCCGTCTTCTTGGCCTGTGTCCCTGCCCCACCCTTGCCAGCCTCGCCGCTCGCCTCTGTCCTTCACTCTGGCGTGTTTTCTCCACCGAGTACAGACTGTTTGACGGAGACAACGGACCCACCCCACGTCATCCTGAGGGAGCCGGGCCACGTGACTAACGCAAGTCCATGAGAGGCCGGCAGGATGCGTCCCTGTCCCTGTCCCCGCCCGCAGGACCCCTCCGAGGGCCCTGGGCTCTGGTTCTCCCCTTTGTGGTCATCCGCTTTCCCCTACCACCTGGAGGCCCTCAGCAGGATTTTCTCTCTGTTCAGAAGATCCAACCACACGGATGCACTATTTTAAGGGGGAACCTGTATGCTAACAGGAGGTTGACTTTATTTGATGCTTTTAAAATCTAAATTTGCAAGCACCTAGGCTGGGCGCACACGGCTGCTGGGTCAGAGGGTGCCAGCCCATCTCTCGGAAACCTAACAACTCAGTACCTCGGCTCTCACAGAGGCCCCGAGACAATGACGGCTCGTTCACAGCCACAGCGCAGATCCCCGGTGTCCCCCAAGGCCTGCGCAGGAAGGCTGTGCGGCCTGCGGTGCAGCTCGGCTGGAGGCCCGTCAGCAGGCGGGGCCTGGCGCAGTGGTCCTGCATCTGTGCCCCTGCGGTGTGGGGATCCGGGCCCTTCCCACACTCCTGTTCCCGCTGTCCCAGCCCCGACCGGACGAAAGCTCTGAAACAGCGGCAGATAAAGCCTCTCACACCCACGGGCCGTCAGCACGTTTTCCATAGCCATGCAGCCCTGAGACCGCTGGGTTCCCCGCCACCTCCGGCTGCCCAGGGCCCCAGCCTGCAGAGCCTCAGCACGACCGACGGAACATTTCATTTCCTGTGTGTGAAAATATGGATGTGCTGTGAAAACGAAGCCTAAAGTCTAAGTCCGGGAAACTGAGATTTCCAGGTGAATATGTAGAAATAATTCTCAAACAACAAATAAATAATAAATACTTATTTAATGCCATAAAAATATTTTTTACAAAGTTGGTTACAAAATTGCTAGAAAATACATCAGCGTACAAAGATGAAATAGGAACCACCCAGCAGTCGTGAGGCTGAGATGCCGGCATCAGGACATTTCTGTCAGATGATATACGACCATAAACCATCTTTTAAAACTCAACTACAGCCTTTAACACTTTGTTCTCTCAACACTTTTTCTGGCAACATTACTTGAAGAGAGGGAAACACTGTATCAAGCCGGAGGTCCTCTAACTCCTCCCTACTCACTCACATCTAGGGTACTTTGCGTCTCTTCAGTGTAGCAGTATGGGATGCTTCCCTTGTCTGTTTAAAGCGCCCTGTGACAGTTACTTGTAACAGGAAGTTAGGAACTGGAGAAACTGCTAAGAGGAGTAAGCCAGGCACAAAGGCCGCGGGCCCATGCTCATCTGCGAACGGCCTGAACGGTAGAGATGGGCGGCCAGGGTTGCCGAGGGAGTGACACCGAGACTGAGGCGGAGGGGCCTTTAAAGGGCCCAGCACAGACGGAAACAGAGAAGACACCGAGGAAGCAGGCGACGGGCAGGCCTGGCCGGCTGAGTGGCGGGGTCTTTACGGGCGGTGAAAATGCTTTACAGCGGCCGGGGCAGCTGCACAACTGTGAACACACTCAATCCGCCGGGCGGCAGGGGTCGGGTGGGAAGTGCACACGGGTTTCCTCCACGCGGTGTTACAATGCAGAACTGGACCTCTAGGACATGAGGTCCAGGTGCAATGCCAATGCAGGGTGTACCCCGGCCGCGACGCCACCCAGCCCTTCCTTCCCCGGGGCGGAACCACGCCGAGGTGCTTTTCTGATGCCGAGTGTGATTTCAGGTTTTATGGCTGCAGCTGGAATCCATGTTGTAACAAGCCGAAGAGAGACAAGCTTTCCAATGTAAAATACCTGTTTTACGGTTTTTTGAGACAGGCTCTCACTACGCAGTTCAGGCTGGCCTTGAAGGATGTAGCCCAGGCTGGCCTGGAACTCACAGCGATCCTCTTGCCTTGGCCTCCCGAGTGCTGGGATTAGGGGCATGTGCCATCACACTTGGGCAAAAGTGATTTCAAAATGTTACCTTAACAAAACACAACATGTGGTTAAAACTAACATTAAACACCAGGAGTGTTAAACACACTGGTTTTTACCATGTGATATAAAAAGGTTGGAAAGGGCGCTGCCACTTTTTGCTGACCCTCGGTTTCCTCATCTCACCCTCAGTGACCTGGGTCTGGGCTCTGTACGGAGACATTAAGATGCTGCCCACCTCCCAGGGCGTGTGATTTCCTGGGACAGGAAACAGGGCGGGCTGCCCTGTGGAGGCAGGGGCAAGGGCAGCTCCTCCGGGGAGCTGCTCCTGCGGCTCCTCCCCAGGCAAAGGCTGGTGGGGCCTGGTGCACCCGGTGTACCCCGCAGAATGAAACTCAGGGCCAGCGCCGGCCTGGTGTGCCCCACGCCCTGGGCTCCACCTCTAGCACTGCTGAAAACACACTGTAACCCAAAAGCAAAGCCGACCTCCTCCAGGAAGGAGAGGCTCTGCCTTGGGCCGTCACGGAGGTCCAGGACAGACAGGCAGAGGGGACATGCAGAGAAGGCGCTGGGAGCAGCGAGGAGACTTCTGAGCTCACCAGGACCGCGACCTCGTCCCACCCCGCGTGGCCGAAGGCGCCTTCCAGGAGCCGACGCCCGCTCGAGGCGTCCGTCCGCACGGGGCCAGCGCGCGCTCTGTGCTACTGCGCATGCTCGTCACCTGGGAGGCGCAGGTCCTCCGCAGCACAAAACATAAGTGAACAAAAACTCGAGTTTGGACAAAAACTCGAGTCTGAACAAATTCTAGCTTCTCTTCTCAAAGTTTTACAACCAAACACAAGGAAAAACCCCCAGGAATGAGTAACACGAAGAAATCTGTTTGTCCCGCTGTATCCCTCAAATCCCGAAGAGGGGGAACTGAGCGCGGTGTGGGAGGGTGACAGCCTCCGCGCAGGCCCCGCCGCCTGCCATCAGCACCGAGGGCCCGGGCCCGAGGACAGTGCGGCTAAGACAGCGCCGGGATGAAGTACTGCAGGGAGACGTCTTCGTGGAGCAGATCGAGATGAACCATCCTGCCGGCCACAATATCTGGGGAGAGAGACTGCGGTGTTCCGAGCCACTCGGGACCCCCATGCTGCTCCCGCCTGTGTCGCACAGCTCTGCACTTGGTTGGTGCTGCCCACCGGTGGTCTCTGTTCTCGGCCCCTGCTGAGGTCACAGCCCAGGCCGGGCCACCCCTCCCCCAGAAGGAAGCAGGAAGCACTCGGCCACCAGGCCTCAGAAGGAGACCCGGAGGCTGGGCTCCAGGCACGTCACACTTCCGGGTCCTTACTGGGGGAAGCACAGGGTGTGTGAGAAGCACCCTGCACCCGGACACCCTGCAGGCATCACCCGTGCATCAGTCCACCGGACACCTCCCCTTCCCGGTCTCCTCGTCTCCCCTCAGAGGGGCTGGTGTGGGACGGGCCGCCTGGCCTTGTCCGGTCCCTTCCGAGTGCAGAGTGCCGAAGGCAGCACGGACTACGCGCGCTTCCCTGCCGCGCCCCACGGCAGCCCTTCGAGCCCGGCCACTGCTTCCCTGGAGCAGCTGTGGTCTGCACCAGGTGCCGGAAGGAGCCCAGCAGTCCTGGCCTGCTCAGGGCGGGGCGGGAGCGGCCCAGGGTAGGGACCCAGCTCCGGCGGGTCGCCATCAGCCAGCAGGCACCTGCCACCTGTCAGGCTAGAGGGGCCCAAAGGGTCCAGACAGGAAACAAAACAGAGGCAACACTCACGGCACAGGGCCTTGGTGGGGTTCACCTGCTGCCCGGAGAGGAACTGCAGGAGCTTCCTGATGTCCACGCGCACCTCGGCCATCGCGGCCGGGTCTCTGTCCCGAGGGGCGTCATCAGAGGCTAGGGCAACACGAGTGGGTCACGTGTGACATCTCTGGATGGCACAGGGAACCGGAGGCGCACAAGGCACGTTCACTTAACCATTCCCCTCACCACCTGCGTGTGTGTGCTGGACAGACAGACGCAGAGCGCGTGGCTGGGTCACTGCTGAGCACGCACTTACTCGGGCCTAACGCTACAGCAGCCTCCTAACCCTGCCTTAAACACTACAGCACCCTCTACAGGGCCTCCACGTGCGGGAATGTGGAACAGGTCTGCGCCTCTCCCTGACCTTGAAGACTGTGGTGTTCATTAGGTTTTCAAAGCTGAAATGTAGGTAGTTAATGTGGCTTCTCACTGGAGCAGAAGGAGTGGAGGAAACAGCCTGTCCCCCTCTGGGATGTGCGAAGGCGGGTCCCCCGCATTTAGTAAGAGCAAACTTAATGACTCGGAACATAGTCCTTTCACACGGGCCGCAGAGCTGTGATCGAGGGCCCCTCAGTCACTGCAGGGGACAGGCCCCTCGCAACACAGCCTTGGCACTGTGTCCACGCACAACCAAGCCCGAGGCAGCGAATCTGAACTCGCGGCGCAGCCAGGGCCTCCGTTATCTGTCTGGGAACACACAGATCACAAATGATTCCACACGCTCACGGCTACTTCTACTCGGTCCTGTGCCTCCACCCTGCGCCCTCTGCGTGTTCCGTCGCCGCCTGCTCCACTGCTGGCCGACCTGACCCCTCTGCCCTTGACCCCCACGGAGACGGGAAGTGCGGCTCGTGGACATGATCACATCCTGCCCCTGGGTCTAATTTCTTCACAGGCACTGACATGACGGAGGACAGTGTGAGAAGGAACGCACCCACCTTTCCGACTGCGCGAGGTCTGGGAGGTCACGCAGGGTGACCCGAGTCCTCAAGAAGAGGACCGGGCCCCTCAGCGGCCCGGTGTGTTCCCCGCTTCCCCGGGGCTGCCGCTGCGCTGCAGGAACAACTTCAACTCCATCCCCACACAGGGAGAGGAAACCCGCCCTTGGCCTGTGTTACATTAAGGTACCGTGATGCGCCCACCATCTCAAAGAAGTGATTCATCAAAGGCAAACCGCAGCCCACAAGCAAACTCACCTAACGGAGGGTTTCCAAGATCTTTAAAATGAGTTGTAACACAGACTAATTCAGTTTCTATTTTCAAGTTCAGTTCTCCTTTGAGGTTTGCTTCAATAACCTGCAGGATGAATATTGCAAAACAGTCTTAGAGAAGAAAAGGAAAACGAAAGACCCACACGCCGTATTTCTGTAGGGGGAGGAACGCCGTCACAGCTGCAGAGAAACGTGTTTACAGGCTGCACTGCTGCTGGAAGCGAGGTCCGGGTCCCCAGGCTCTGGCTGCTGTTGGGCACCAGGAGGCCGCGGCCACTCCCCTCCCTGAGCCCTCTCCTCAGCTCCTCTCCTGGTGCTGGCACTGTCCCTGCAGTTCCGGGGACGTCCCCGTAGGTTACGGGGGGTGGGGGGGCTTCCTTCCCAGCGCCCCAGCCCGTCAGCCAGAGCGAGACGGAAGCGCAGCGGCTGCACACTGCCCTGCTGCCTGTGGAACGCGAGCCCATCGCCGGTGCCGCCGGCTATTCAAGCCCGGCAGGTTCACAGCCCTCGTGCGCTCAGCCGCCAGCATCCCGCCACCCGGGAACACAAGCGACGCAACCCAGCCTGCGCTCTCACCCTAGGAACCCGCTTACTGTCCCCACCCTGGCTCCCACCACTCTGAACTCGGTAGCTTCTCACTCCAAAACAAAATGGAGAACTTTTCTTCAGAACTTGGGCAAGTTCTTATTTCTGAGCTTTTGACATTAAACAGAGAAACAGCCCCCAGACTCACTTATCACATAAATGGGTAAACTTCTCTCTGAATAGAAAGCGCTCACTTTAAACGCGGTTTCTTCCTTTCACGAACCAAGAAACATAATGGTTCCATTTCCTGACCCGCAGCACTGCCCCCGGGGAGGCTCCGGGCCGCGCCCCCGGGCTCTGGAGAGCGGCCCTGGGCACAGACCCGCTGCTTTCAAGCAGCCACGCCACGATCTGAAAGTTCCTACTGTTTGTGAGAAACGGTTTTGGAAATCATTCGGTCAGTGGCTTCAGAAGTATTTCTGCAAAGCAACCTGCTTTCTAGGCTCACTTCCAGCCTACACTCTTCTGCTTTCTTCTGATTCCTAAAGTCTGCAGCGGGGAACCTTAGCGTCCAAGCACTCCCGACCCCGCTCGGTGCCTGGCCCACGGCTGCGCTGCATCAACCCCGCCTGGAGGTGCGGACGGCCGCTGGCTCTCTGCACACGGTCAGTGTTGGCGTTAGGCTCGGTTATCTGGTTGTCACGCCATCCAGGCTGTTTCCTAAGCACCCTACTTCTTTAATCATTTTCCTGGGGTCTTTGCCTGTTTGCTGAACGCCAACTGACTATACCGAGCACCTCACACATTATCTGAGTTCAGAGGGACAAAGCCCCGTGCTAGCGCTCCTAGCTCCACTGAAGCAAGTGTGCGGCTCCAGCACCCCTCCCCACATCCTGGCGCCTCTGGTAGTCCTGTTTTCATCACTAAGCCGGCCCCATGCAGCCGTTTCTGACAGGCCACACGAGGGCCCGAATCCCTGAGCACTGCTACCAGGCGGGGTGCCAGACAGACCCGCCTCACCCATCTGCGAGCTGCTGGGAGCTGCAGGAAACGCAGGCCTCGGGCCCAGCCCGGGCTTCTGAGGCAGGCGTGTTTTCCCCGCCCCCGCAGGGCTTGCAGGCTCCCCTAGGGACTCGCTGGGCTCCTGGCTGCTTGCTCAGGTTCTGCATGGGTCACACACCTGGCCCGCCCATCCGTCACCTCCTCGCTACAGCAAGGGAAGGACGAGCGGGGCTGAGGGAGGGGAGCGGCAGTGCCCGTCCCATTCGCGCTGCTCAGTTCTGCAGCCCCAGGTCTGCAGACAGCGTCCCGCCCTGAGGGCGCCCGCACTGCGCACCCTGCCAGTCCGCTCCCCCTTGCTCATCTTCCACGCCGCCGGTCCCGTTCTGGGCAGTCTAAGGCGGCTCTGGTGATCTAAGCCACCCGCCAGCTCTGCACCCTGCCGACCCCTTCCATGGACTCGAAGCACAAACAAGCGGATCCACTGGTTAATGCGGCCGAGTCCCTGGGCCTCTCTGCGCCTCCCGGAGTCCTGGCACCCAGAGCAAGCGGCCTGACACGGACGGACCTGATGCACTGTCAGCGCACGGCAGCCCACTTCGGAGGGCCGGCTCTTGGATCCAGAGACCAGAAGGCCGGGCGTGGGCCCTGCTCTGACACGAGCGGAAGGAACTCCAGGGAAAAGGGGCCCAAGAACTGAGCTTCACAAAGTTTCTGTGATTTAAAAAATCCCGTGAAGCTACATTTCACTCCAGACCCATGCGGGGACCCTGATGCCACCGAGTGAGTGACAGTCCCACCTGTCGCTGGGCCAGGGAAGAGGTCTCTGCCTTCTGGCTGCCGGGAGAGCTGGGGAACAGGGCTTCCTGCGCTGGCGGGGAGGGGCTGGGGTGGACAGGACCGTGGCCCAGGGCCGTCCAGGGGGTGACCGGGGAGAAACTGAGGCAAGACAGCCACGAAAAGGACAAGACTCTGGGTGGCAGAGACACAGCCCACGCGCCCTGCAGGGAGGGCCTGGTGGGCAGAGATGGCCCAGAGGGATGGGACGGCCACAGAGGCCTCTCAGAGACTCAGGGACAGCATCCACTGTTTGGGGGCGAGGGAGGGGAGAATTCAGGATGAGCTCAGGTGTGAGGACAACCACTCAAGGCCCTGCTCTGTCGTGCATGGTGGCGCTGTGAGACAAATTTAACGGAACCCTGAAAGCGCCCGGCACTTGGTGAGAGCGGTTTGGAACGGACTGCTGTGCTGTGGGGACCCCGGTTCCGGGCTCCCTGAAGGACAGGAAATGCTCTGGCCTTTGCAGGGGGAGGTGGGGACTCAGGCGGGGCCGTGGCTCGTGGGACAGCACGTGCTCAGCATGCCAAGGCCGCATCCAATGCCAGCACCAAGAAAACAAGGGAAGATGGACTCTTCTATTCAAACGCAAGGCAGAGAAGTCAGAACTACGGAGTACGCTCCGGGAGGGCACACAGGACTCCGTGGGGCGGGAGGGGGCACAGCACTGGGACAGGCTTCACGACAGCGTGGGGTCTCAGCCCCGGCTCCAGGCCCGGCATCGGCCTCGGCGAGGGAGCCGCACAGCAGCACCAGCGTGTCCCCGCGAGCGCCAGGCGGGCCGCCCTCCGAGCTGTCCTCCCGAGTCCCGACTCACAAGGTTATTGCTGATGTTCCTCATTTTCTCCACAACGCTCTTCATTGTCTTCAGGGCCGGTAAGTAAATACTAACCTATGGGACCAAGCAGAGACACCAGCAGAGTGAGAAAGGCGGCCAACGCCAGCGCTGCCTGACTCGGGGCTGCATGCGTGTGTAGGAACTCGGAAGCTCTATCTTAAACGTCCTAAGCGAAGTTCACGTAAAAATGGGAGAAGGAAGACAATTTTATAACCTCAGGAACTCGCAGGCATCCAAGCCAAGTGAAGGAATGGAACGCTTGCCTCTGGTTACCCTGGCGACTGCATCCCTGTGGGTTTCAGCCTGGGACACCGTGAAGGTGCCCACAGGGAACAACCCAGGACCCAGCAGGAGGCCTCCGCGTAGGGAATCTACACCCAGGGGCGTTCTCCACGCTCCAAGCAAAACACAGTGCGAGCCACTGCCCGTCTCCCGAGCCTGTGCTACTGGATGCTGGCCTTCCCCGACCTGCAGACAAGGTGCGACTGAAACACAGCGTGTATTTAAATGTTAAAAATTACCATGGTTATGACACATTGCCGTGAATCCCTCTCAAAATACTCTCCTTGGCTTGCAACATACTTGTCTCTTTGTTCTGGCCACTTTCCGAAGCAGGTCTGGAAGGCCTCTCACTTTTTTGTGTTTGTTTTTTGAGACAGGGTTTCACTATGTAGCCCAGGCTGGCCTTGAACTTGTGGTGAGCCTCCTGCCTCAGCCTCGTAAGAGCTGGAATTAAAGCGTGCACCACCACACCTGGCATGGAAGTCCCCTTTCCTGAGTGTCTTTGGCTGCCTCTATGTCCTAAATCAATTTAAAATGCTTTCCTTTCATGCTTTTGACTTTGTAGAACAGCCAGGAGTCACACCATGGTGACAGATACAGTGAAGAAGGTGGACAAGGACACAGCATCATGTTTTATGACGAGTCCACCTTTCTGCTGGACGGCACTCAGCAGCATTCGCCATATTTGTGATCACACCTCATAAAGAGCTTTGGAGCTGCTTCAGAAAGTGGCAAGGATGGCTGGGCGTGGTGGCGCACACCTGTAATCCCAGCACTTGGGAGGCTGAGGCAGGAGGATTGCTGCAAGTTCGAGATCAGCCTGGGCTACAAGGTGAGCTCAAGGCCAGCCTGAACTGCATAGCGAGACCCTGTCTCAAAAAGACAAAAAAAAGTTTAAAAAAGGAAGTGGCAAGGGTGGTGGATGAGTGTTCGTGAAGCAAAGAAGACGAATTCTGTGGGGAATTCATGGCAATTTACTGTAATAGACTTTATACAAATATTCACTGCAGTTTTCAATAGCCCCACAGAGACCTTCTACTGTCAAGTAAACATTTTATCCAGTTTACATTTAGTGTTTCTCCTTAAAAACATTCTGAGCGAGAGCCAAAGGGCTCCCTGGCACTCCCGACTCCCAGGGCCTCTGGGGCTCCTCTCAGCAGGAGCGCTACCTGGCTCCAAGAAACACAGGCCTCCTGCGCTGTCACACGTCCAGATGCGCGGCCCTGCGCAGCCTGAATTGGTGCCAGGACTGAATCGTAAACAGGACTGACATTCAAAGTGTTCAGTTTTGTTTTGTTCAAGAGCTGGTTTTGAGCAAGACATTCTCTCTAGTACATGTAAAGAATATGGTACTTCTACTACGTGCATCAGAGTTTTAAAAGTTTATGTGAATAACGAAAGGCAAACGTGCTGACTGTTTTCCCTCAAGTACCCTGTAAACATGTGTGTCACGTTCTTGGCAGGCCTTACACAGCTTCCACATAAAATACACTGCAAGCGAACAGGAAACCTTAGAGCACCCAGAACCGCCCCTCACGTGTGCCGAGCAGCAGGCTGGAAGGGTCACTCACGTCAGCCTCTGGGACGGAGGGCTCCTGTAGGTCCTTCCACAGTTTGCGAGCCACGATCTTGACGGGGATATCATGCGTCACGATGCGACTACTGCTCGACACGGACAGCTGCCGAGAACAGAAATGTAGATACTTTATGTTGTTAGTATCAAAAGCAAAGTTAAACTAAAAAACCGAGGATAAAAAGTTGAGACGGCAAGTCTAAGTGGAATGATCTTAATTCAGCCACACAAAATCCATTCAACCGGTACTGACGGCATCTGCCCTGGGCTCTGTGAGCCGATGACGTGTGGCGGGTCAGAAAAAAGTCCCTAGCGTTCCAGGGGACAAAGGGGCCACTAAGGACGCAACCACACAAAACATGTGCGATGCTCATTAGGGCCTTGACAAAACATGGCAGTGCCCAGGCTGAGGGTGGGGAAGGTCCCCAGACTCGGAGGTCCGCGGAGGCCCTCGGGGCAGGTGACACTGCAGACGATAACAAAGTGGGAGGCAGACAGCCACTGGGGGAGTCGGGCAGTGTCTGTGAAGCCAGGACACGGAAGGGGGCTGACCTGCTACTGCAGCAAACCTGAAGCCATTCGGTGCGTGGCAGTTCCTATACTGCTGGAAGGATAAACTGTTAATCTACTCCCAGGAGCTTCCATGAGACCCACAGACCAAAGTCTCTGGCCCTTTTACACAGAAAAGTATACGTTAACTACTTTTCTTTTCGTTAAGTGAAGAAACTCCAGATCCATATTGTGACACTGAATGCCCTGGTTAGCTCTAAGAACTGACTGACCGCAGAATTAAGCAGAAGTCACAGAGTTGAGCAATTCTCTTCCACAGAGAGCTTGAAACCATAAACAACGCTTGCCCATAGATGTACAAAGCCTGTACCAAATACAGGGAAGGGGAGATGTAAGGACAGCAGAGCTAGGAAGGGGCAGCACTGACGCTGAGCATTTTATACAGAAGGGGTTTTGGCCGGAAGGACAGAGACATCAAGTGGAAGGCCCAACACCACCACTCTCTGGGAGTTTGGAAAGAACTGGAGCTATCCAGGGAACATTTCAGAGGGCAGTAATTTGTGATTTGGCTCCCAGATACGTTGGCCCACATGTGAAAGGCCCTGTGCATCATACTAAGAAATATAAACTTCATCCTGTGTGTGTGTGTGTGTGTGTGTGTGTGTGAGATCTGAGGGGAGCTGTGTGCTAAACTCACCTGGCAGTAGCACGTAAAACAGATGTGTTACTGAAACGTGACTGGTGATTTGAAGACATTCCAGCAGAAGAGGTTGGGGAAATGCACACGGAAAGTGCAGATGGAGGAGCTGGGGATGTGGCTCAGTGGTAGAGCTCTTGCCTTGCATGCACAAGGCCCTGGGTTCGATCCCCAGCACCACACATATACAAAAATAAATAAATAAATTTTTAAAGAAAGTGAAAATGGATAAAAACCATGATTTCTACACTGGAAAACAATACCATTAAAAGAAACTCAGATGCTGCAAGTTTTTAATGAAGAGGAGCAACAGACTCCAACAAAGAGAAGTCACACACCAAATCTTTAAACAAAGTAATTAGCTTTCAACCACACTGCTTAACAGCCCCGGTGTAGAACTACTGACACCCCTCAGACACCAAGACGTGTGGGAACCTCCAGAAACCCTGTTCCTCCCACTCACCAGCTCCACGGAGACTGTGAGGCAGGGAAAGTGCTTATTTGTCAGCTTGATTTTCAAGGTTCTGGCATTCTGCGCGGTCTTCAAAGCTCGAGATAAGTTTTCTGAGGTGAGTTCTAAATATATCACGTTTTCTGCAGACACACCCTCCATTTGAAATTCACTGAAAAAGTTCTCCTAGGGGAAGGAAAGCAGGGCATGTGCGGGCTCTCCGGGGGCGCGGGAGCAGTCCGAGGCCGCTGGGGGCTGCCTCCCCGGGCCGGCTCACCTGCTCCAGCTCACACCACGTGCTCACCCCACCACTGGCCAGCCTGTCGCAGAGGATGAAGTTCAGCTTATCGGGGCTGATGCGCAGGGTGCAGGTTTTGGCCAGCTTGGCTATCATGTTACTGACTCCTAGGGCGGAGCACAGGGTGAGGAGTTACTAACGGGCACAGCACGCATCCCGGAGGTCATCTTCCCTCCTGGAACTTCTAATTCCGGCAGGCGCAACTTCCCAGTGGGAAAATGCAGGTTGCCACTGGGAGGCCGCGGGCAGGGCTTCAGCACCGCCGGGCCAGCCATTCTCCCACCAACCCCGCAGGCACGCGGCACGCAGCACAGTGCCCAACGGGGACACCGCGGCTCGGGGGCGAGCTGGCGCGAGGTGGGGCTTTCATGCACACGCCGGGCGCTGCAGCGGCGCTGAAGGAACGCCGGGCACAGCGGGGGTGGAGCCCGGGTGACCGCGTCTCCGGCCGGGACCCAACCGGGCACGTGACCCGCGCCGCGCCTGCGGCCCCGCCCCCC